ATGCCAATCAGGAAAGACGTACCCATCGCATCTCGGATATGGGTCATGTGCGATAGCTTGAAGGGGTTGCGGAAGGTGAAGACATGACCGGAAGCTGCTTCGACCTTGCCTAGAAGCGGAACACCGCCTTGTTCCCAGTCCAAGGACCATGCCAAGACTGCCGAGAGCACGACAACGATGAGTCTATCGGGGAAATACGCTACTCCTGGGTATCGTGGCTGCAGTCTTCGTTTGATTTCCCTTCGCACGAAATGAGCTACGATCCATAGCAGGATTATTTCGTACTTACCGTAGTACCATAATAACGACGAATCCCACGATGCCTACAAGAGCAGTGAGCTCGTGTCGGTCTCCAAGATGCGTCAGCACGAACTCGAGTTTTTGCACGGTGCTGCCGTGCGAGATACCTGTCGACGCTTTTGCTGCACGGTTGAGCCCTAGGACGGGAATCAACTGGTCGATGAAGATTACGACGCCAATGGCAGAGATGAAGCCTCGGAGGAAGGGTCTGCTCAAGACGCTATCGAGGAAGCCCAGGCGAAATACGCCCATGAGGAAGACGGTTGCACCCGCTAATCCGACAGCCACACCGGCTACTTCAGCTTGCAAAACGGCATTATCGTCGTCGCCGCGTCCGAGGTCGATGCTGTTCTTGATGATGGACCCAATGAGCAGGGAGCCGGCTGCTTCAGGACCAACCACCATCAGCGGGCAACTTCCAAGCAGTGCGTACACGAAGGGGTTGATGGCGAAGGCGTATAAGCCATTGATCGCGGGAACATGCGCCAAGTTGTCTGCGTATGAGAGCGCCATAGGGAGGTACATGGACGCGATGGTGACAGCGGCTGTGAAGTCGCCTTTCAGCCACGACCATCTGTACTGCCTGATCCATATGAGGAATGGTATGTAGTAGGATAAGTACATTCCCCACGAGTCCTCCACGCCGTGCTGCTGTGCCAGGGTACTCGAGTCAGTCATTTTCTTGCTCTTCACCTTGTTTGTAAAGGTCTTCTTCCAATTCCCCTTGAGTTGCATCTCACTAGAGGGCACGGAGCCATCTGAATCTGCCGTCGACCTGCTTTCGACATCGGCGCTGCCAGCTCTCGGCGGAGGACTCGATACGCGAGGGGAGAATGTGCCATGGCCGCAAGGGCCTTCGTGTACGCGTTCGTTGTGGAGAAGAGACGTAGTTTCGGTGGTCTCGTCGTCGTTAGAAGGATCGAGTCGTGTGCTAGGACCGGCGGGATCTCCGGCTATACCGTCACTCGCCGAGGAAGATGAGATGGTGCGACTTTGGCGAAGACCACTTGGGGTCAAGGGAGCATGATCGTGATAGGGCCGAGACCCGGTAGTGATGGAAGGAGGCCGCGATGTTGACATATTCTAGGCTTCTACAACTAGAGCAAAGAGAGTACGAAACAACCGGCAGCCTGCTATACTCTCGAGCCTTTTACCAGCCTAAAACCGCGTGAGGCTAAAGGAAGTTCGGCTTCCATTCGCAAACCGGCTATCGGTATTCCAACGGCCTAACGAGAGGTAGAGATATACGCAGAGTTACAGAGTTATTACGAGAGGAAGCTTGTTGAAATAGGAAGTCAACAGGCTAACAAAGAACTAGTAGAGGCGTAGATCAGGGAGGGAGAATAAAAAGTTGGACAAACTCTACATTATACATGGAATTGGAGAGTGAGGATAAAGATGGAGATGGTGATAATGCAAGATGACATGAAGTAGGGAGGAATTGCCGTCCACTTCATTGGTTGATGGACGAATGAATAACCCCAAGTAACTTAGTACGTACCTAGGTATCTACCCCCTACATACATATGTAGGTATCCTGCCTTCCAGGTTCCAGCCCTGTCCAGGGTCTATGGAGGAAGAGTGGGGACGGCGGGGCACCCATTCCAACTGGCAACTGCATTGCACCTGAGGTCTTTCCATGTTATAGAAATATTTCATGTTGCCGATGTAAGGTGCGATGCTATTGCAAGGGCTGAGGACTTGGGGAAAGAAGGAAGGAAGGAAAGCACAACTCATGATGGATCATGATGGATCCTTCCTAGGTATACGTGTATACTGCTGAATGATGGAAGAGGCTGCCAGGTGCCCGGGTGCTACCTCATCAAGGCGGACTGAACCTTCAGCGGCATCCCGTCTGCACCCCACTAAATGAGATCTGAAACCCCGCACCGGCGAGATGAACGTTCCAGACAAGCCACGACAGTTGCATAAGTGCAGGTATTACCTAGGTACATGTACCTACCTGCATGCGGGTCCTTAAATGTAGGTATTAGTACTTGACCTTTCAACAAGCTCAAGCAAGTCAGGAATCAAACTACAACAATATTTATCGCGAGGAAAAAATTTAAGGGAAACGCGAGGCGTTGATTATGGTCGACTATCTAGGTCCACGAATACGGAATCACAATCCGTGAAAGAAGCATCATCCGCAACGCCGACGAGATACATGCCACGCCAAATCAACGAATGCATGCGCAATCATTGCCTTGCTGGCAACTAAGCCGAATTCCTCCACGACGGTGTCCAGTCGACGCATATGTAACTGGGACACATCCAGTGATATCAGAGGAAACTGAAGGATACTGCAACGGTGGTAAGGTACCGGTAGGTGGAACCTCAGAGAAGGGAATGTTGATGAAGAGCGAATTCGCCATGAACGCGTCGTGCCGATGATTTGCAAATATTTGCCCGATGAATGAACGCGTTGTCGAAGTAGCGACACCATCAAACCACATCTTCATAATCTTCATCCTCGTCATCATAATCATCAACTTGCTCCTCCTCCTTGGCTTTCTTCAGTTCGGCCTTGATCTTGGCATGGATCTCATCCTCATCGTCGCTATCCTTAATGCTGCGGAGGACCTTGCTGGGAGTCTTGGCCTTCTTGCCGAAACCAGGCGTCTTCTCGGTGTCGGACTTGCGCTTTCGGCCCTTGGTAGGGGTGCTCGGAGGACCCGATGCGCCCTGACCAGACGCGCCAGAAGCGCCAGAAGCGACAAGCAGCTTCTTCTTGATGGGGGCGAAGCATGCACGCGCGGTCTGGACGTTCTTGAACGGCGCAATGTCGGCGAGCTTCTGCCAGTTGATCTGCGAATTTTAGTTAGCGCATGCCGCTGGTGCCTTTATCTAGTTAAATACGGGAAGTCATGAGATGGGAGAAGGAAAACGGCGACGTGATCAGGTACGGCGACCTATAATAACATGCCACAGCACTCCATAGTTCTATCATCTGTAAATACTATTGCAAACATACCTTGGGGGGCTCGTCGAAGCACTGGAAGGTCTTGGCAAGAATTTCCATCTCTCGTGCCGAGAGCTGGATCTCCTTGCCGGATCCCCTAGAGGCCATCGTGACGATCACTGAGGTTGGTCAGATGATACGTCGAAGAGGTTAGTGTCGAATAGGTTGTGTCGAAGAGGGCACTTAAGAAATAGGAAGAGTGGTAGGGTGAACTGGCTGATCTAAGATCTGATGTATTTCTTCACGCGACCGAGGATACGGTTGGTGATGTATGTATCGGCGGGGAACGAAGCAGGGATATGTATTGTAAAGGTTGCAAGGTTTATGTAGAAGGATAGAAAGGTAGAAAAGAGTGGAAGGGAATAAGAAGTCCTTCTCGAGGCTGGTGCGATTAAATGAGAAGAGGAAGGTGTAGAGAGGTAGGTAGGTAGGGATAAATAAGTCGAAGTGGGAAAGAACGACATCACATTTCAAGGAATTCAGCTATGACCTCGGATGCTCTAGAACGCCAGTCGCGTCTCTACCAACTATCTTAATAGGCAACCACCCAGAAATAAGGCAAACAAATATATCATATTATCAGCTACTATGACATACCTTCAGTTTTATACGTCGTAATTACGTAGGACAGTAGCCGAGGAGATATTTATCTTTTATAAAATTGCCCGTTGTTAGATCCTAAGATATATCATGTTATTCTGACTTGCCTAATGATATGCGTATCCAATAAATCAAGAGATGTCTTTTTATAGGACTAGGTCATCTTAGAAGAAGGATAAGTCTCATGGCTCTACATTTACTACTGTCTCGCCTACCAAAGTACCGAAGGTGAAATGAGCACCTCCATTTCAAGAATAGTCTTGTTACAAAACCCCACGCTTCTTTATCGCTATGAAGAATTTAAGCACTAAAAGCAACTAATAATCCTAAATAATGACTTATCTTATTTTCAAGATCTATAAGGCTGTACTATCAAAAATGGTGAATAATGAAAAGAAATTACTGCCAAGAGAGTTTAACGACATTAAAGTACTAAATCGTATTTCTATATACTTACCTAGGTACCTAAGTAAGTACCTAGGTAGTTAGGTATATATATATTATTATTTTTTTACTACCGGTATTTACCTACCTAAGTTCCATAATATCTCCCCTGTAAGTAGGTACCGGACAACCTCGAAACCCGTACCGTCTCTAGCGTTATACCAACTATCCTTATTAACTTCGACATTATATCTGTCTCTTATCGACACCTGATCATACTTTCCTCATCTGTCTCTCTCTTTTCTCACCGATTTCTTCCAAAGATACCTACTATGCTGCCTGGGTACCTTATATGTAGCTCCAAATTGTTTATCTTCGTGACCGGCAGTGACAATGTCCAAATTGTTCACCGTAGCCATTCGGCTCCAAGGCCTATTTATATACCGAAATACTCTCCCTATAATAGCTCTAACAATATAATATAGTTGCTACGATATGTAACTCGCACCTATGGCTAAGACATAGTAGTAATCTGGGCTTTATCTCATTCTCACTCCTAGGCCTATGGCTTATGAACAAGCAACTGTAGTATCGAAGATACGGTATGACCAGGTTGTGTCTGCTGACTTATCGAGATTGTCCACCATAAGTAACCCACTTGCCTTTTCGAAACCCAGTCAACGGTCCTTATTAGTTAATGCGTTTGTTTACTGTTTGTAATTATATATTTCGACGCCAAACAATGCAATTCTTAGTAACTTTGGTGTAATGGTCAGTAATCGAGCCTTCCAAGCTCGAGATCGGGGTTCAATTCCACAGAGTTGCATTTCTTTTCCAGCGCAGCCATATGGAATTTGTTAGTGGTGCTTTATTGGTATCAGGAATTCTGTAGCTGAGTTAATCGTCTGGATGTTAGCGTCGAGAACGCTGGCTTGCTTTCAACCAGGTATGAAGCTTTTAAGGGATATGAACCCCAGATCATAGTCAACGTCACATTGGCCTACCTAATGGCCATGCTGCTTTTACCTGCAACCAGAACTATCTTGTCTAAATAACCTATGTAGCAGGAGAAGAACGTGCCTAACATTTCCTCAGTTTGTCATCATGGTTTCTAACGGCCATCCATTACTTTCCATATCATATTGCCAAACAATAAGAGATAACATTTCTCCTAAATATCAACAAGCTAGTAGAAACAGGATTGCTCTATGAGAGAGAACTACCTGACTGAACCGCAACAGCAGAGAAGCGACGTAAGTTTTCCGTACCAAGGAACCTGGAACGTCGATCTAGGAGATTCTGATTGTTGCGGTACGAGTTCCGACGACTGCCGTTTGAGCTCCGATTGATGCTCGGAGGTTGTAACAGGAAGCGTAGAGCTAGTGGATTCCGAAGGCCACTGTGGCGCTCTCCGATGCGGACACCTTGCGCCGCGGCACCCGAATCCTGAGAGGATATATGTCTGAGTCCAGTTTCCGCCTTCGTGGACAATCTCCACCAACCGGCCACCTTCCACGAAATAGACGCTGACAGATCCGAACCCAAGCTGGAGAGTCGAAATGTATCCCGACGGGGTCCGTTTCGAGATATGTGGTTGCTGCTGCAACCAACCCCCGCTATATCTCTTCTCGAATATACCCTCGATTCGCCCTGTGTGAACGAACATTTCGAGGTCCACATGCTTGAAAGCAATCGCAGAGATGGAAGCTTTGGGAGGTGCTGGCATGATATAGCCACCTTGATAGTATGCGGAGTCCGCTCTAGCGTCATCCTCGATCTTGTCCCAACATATTTCTCTAAAATATGGGTCCTTAAACTTGCAATACAGTCTAACTCCACGATTACCGAGATGCTCAAGGTTAACTGCTGCCAGCGGCGAACCGGTAGCAGCATCCTCTAGCGTTGAGCCACGGGGCCACTGGGACCGGCGTGCCCATCCGTGGAGAATTCGAACAATACTGTCATCATCCTACTCATCGAACTGAATCACCTCAGTTAAAACTTTAGCTTGTTCCCTCTTGAATCTGGCGAGAGCCCCAGTGCTTTCAAGGACGCTGGAAATGTCAACTCTTGAGATGGGAAGCCGATAATCCGTAACCTTGCCTTCTGCAAACTTGGTCATAAGTTCTAGGACGGTGTTGGTTGATTCCACAATAATGCTTAGTACAATATAGATTTTCGCCATTTGGCCCCAGCCATTACGAAATTTCTCGAGCCGATCAGATACTTGCTGGACTTCCACAGTGGAGTACTGCCGTGGTGGCTGAATGATCTGACCGAGTTCTTCTGTCATCATGCTGGTGGACTCCGTTAATGTTGAATCACGATTTAAAGCTGCGCCAGGGGCTTTGTTACCCAGAAGCCTAGCCCTTTCTTTGTAATTCTTGTCCTCGGCGTATTCGCGTGGTGTTTTCCTCTTCCTATTCTCCACTGCCTTGACGTCAGCTCCATATTTTAGCAGGTCTTGAATCACTTGTCCGTAGTTAGCATGGTCATGTTCTTTCCCCCTTGCCGCAAAGTGCAGTGCCGTCTGCCCATGTTGGTCTTGGGCTGTGACACGAGCCCTACGTGCAAGAAGCTTTGAAACTATCTTCGTACGCCCGAGCCCAGACGCACAGTGAAGAGGCGTCCGTCCCTCATCGTCTACGGGGTTTGGGTTGGCTTCATTCTCAAGGAGAATCCCTACCACGCCATCGTGCCCATTTCCCGTTGCACAATGAAGCGCTGTCTGCTTGCTGTGGTCGCATAGATTGACATCGGTACCATGCGTTAGTAAAGATCGGACAATATTCTCGAAACCGTGCGCTGATGCCTGATGTATTGCCCTAACGGTGTCCGAGCTTGCCCCTTTCCCAAGGAGAGTATCTACTTCAGACCCATTTCCACACCTGCATATCTCAACCAATCGTTTACTATCCGGCGAACGGGCGTCCTCCATCGCATGCATGCAACAAGGCTCGGGCGGTTCATTAGGCGGCGGCAAAGACGATATGGACCTGTATACATCCTCAATTGCAGGGCGTTCATCTCGATCCTCCTTCATAATATTCCGACAAAGGCCGATAATCATTCGCTCCCAATGTTGCTCGCTGTTCATCTTGCGCTCCAATTTACCCATGTACTCCTGGACATCCTTTAGTCGTTTCGCATACGATGGATTACTCTCGAAAGTTCTAGCTGAGTTGAGATTGCTGCGATCATAGCGGAAGGAATGAGCAACAAGCATCTCAAGGAACACAGCTCCCAACGAGAAGACGTCGGCTGACCGTCCTCGTGAACTTCCGTCCTCAACTTCAGGAGCGGTGTACGCGGGTGTGCATCCACGTGGTCTGTCGGGCTCTGTGGTCGAGAGTGTTCTTATGGGGCCCATTTTCGATATTCCAAAATCTGCGAGCAGGACTCTCCCATCCTTGACCAAGATATTCGGAGGTTTAATATCACGATGCGTGATTTCAAGTCCGTGGACATATGCCACGACATTAGCCAGGCATCTGAATCAACCACTTATCTGGTTCATTTTTTAGCAGTCGTGTTTGCACTCAAGATAGCTTTTGATGTCTCCGTCTGCGCGGTCCATGACAATTCCAATATATGGCTTTTCTTGCGGGGGTTGGTGGTAGAACGCCGTATTCAACTCGATGACATGTTGGTGGCTGGCATAGTGGAGATTCATAGCTTCCTTGAGAATCAGTCTCTTCGTCCTTTCATCCATGACTTGCTCATTCGGGCTCCAAATCCTTTTCATCATGAGTCGAGAATTGGCGCCGGTCACGGATACTTTGACTTTGATTGGCATCACTATGGGATCCGAATATAAGCGGACATTATCAGGTTCGAATGGGACATCTTGATGGGCACGCCTAAAGTGACTGGGTAACTTGCTAAAAGGACTGGGTACAATGGTACAAGTCTAAGAATAGTATATAGCTGTGGATACCTGATCTTAGATATAAATCCACATACAAATCAATGTATCTTTTCTTCAGCCCTTTGGACCAGATCCACAAAGCGATCTCAGGCAACCACGTCGTCGTCGGTGCCACTAGAACAGTATATGGTGATAATACCGGATTATTCAACGTTATTCTGCTCCGGGCCGTCATCGGCAGGCCCCGTAATCGCCGCTACCGCCGCCTGGGGAGGCTTATCACGAGATAGGTCCCTTCCAGCGCCGGGCCTCTTCAAGTTCCAGGGAGCTCTAAACCCGGCTTTCCACAGGGGCTACGGGGTCGGCAGCGAGGTTGGGAATATGATCATTTAGCAATTAATCTGCAGGATCGATATAATCGCTCCCGAAAAGTGCTAAATCTTCAATATTGGCCATGATATAGGTGGTGGTATAAGTGGTGATAGCTTCAAATAAATAAATCAATTGGTTAGGAAAACTTCGAAGAAAAGGTACTTACAGTTGTATGCGGGTTTGTATTTAAAATTAGGTATCTACAGCTATATACTATTCTTAGACTTGTACCATTGTACCCAGTCACTTTAGCAGGTTACCCAGTCACTTTAGGCGTTCCCATCTTGATTGTCCTCGTATTCCTCGTACTTTATCTCTTGGAATTCTTGGCCTAGGCTAGGCGCCGTGATGAAGACCTTCGGGGGCTTGGGATAATATCAGAAATTATTGAAACACCACTAGGTCAAACCTCGCGTCCAGTTGCAATGAGCATCGCAAGTCCTTACTTGGAAAGTATTTATAAATCAAGATAGGAAGGGAGGCATTTTTTTATGTAGGGGCACAGGGCATCGATCTAGATATAAATTCGTGCCCCGACAGTCACGCAAAACCGTAGGCAACAGTATTCCTGATGACACTGCAGGAATGGATACTACATACCACGCTTCTAAGCTGCGTTGAGCCACAGAATCATGCAACACACCATTGGGGATGATATTATCAAGGCTGGTTCGGGCCAATCAAATAGAGAATTATATTCCGTCGAGCAAGCTGTGAGACATACAATACCAGCTCGTTAGTATTACCGAATACGTTGAATACCTAGGCTACCTAGGTATGGATGGAGATAAGCACGTAGACCACTACCTAATACTATTGGTTACATCGATTCACTCGTGTTAGAGACCTATTTGTCCGTTGTAGTATACCTACCTAGGTAGGGGTAGGTATGGAATTGAGATGAGCAGAGCCGCATCATTTTACATGCCGTAGCTGTTCCTTGCTCGGAGACTGTCACGAGGCGGACCATATGGGGGGGTATGAACTATGTTGTTCCGCGAGGGACTACAACCTATCTGGGGGAGACCCCGGGTATACATACAAGAACCTCTTTGTCTTCCTGCCCAAGTCCCATCCTGACAGGTCAGGTATCAAGGTCAGGTGTCCTGACACTACCTGTTAAACGAACTAATGCTTCATTAAGACTGCTGTAAGATAATCCAACATATAACACCCAATTAAGTCGACCGTAGCTACGCATATATACATTGATACCTACCAGGTAGGAGGTAGGCAAGTACCAATCATCGCCTGGTACATTGTAGGGATCGGTGACTAGAAAGACGCTGGCATTGCTCAACTGCAAGCCCAGTCGCCAAACTTTTTCCACATCTCGTTATCCATTGGCCAATCCTCGGCTGGCTCGGCATGGTTCTCCTGCGGGCTAGGGTGAAGTGCATCTCTAATTGTCGAATGGGCAGAATACGAGGGTTGCATTATTGCTTAGCTTACAGATGACCGAGTTGCCTCACCGTTCGAGATCTCCAGCCTGCTTGAAGCATTCATCGTAATTATCTTCTCACTCCCTTAGCCGCATCGACCATGTAACTGTTTAAGAAGCGCCGATTCATAAATGTGAAAGCCAG